GATGGTAAAATGCTGGGCAATTTTTTGCCAAAAAATCTTAGAAAATATTAATCTAAGGAACTGTGCAATCTTTCTGTCCTCTCCGTCGCTCCTTCTGCTATATTTTCTGATTAATGGATTCTTGTTTCCGATGATAGAAAATTCATTTTTTTTGCAGAAACATTTTAATTTAAAGGAATTCTTAATATATTAATAAATATAAAACCTTTTGTTGCGGATTCCTATAAGTTTTTTTATTTTATCCGATGAATTTTCTCCTTCCAACTGAACGATTATGAATCAAAATAAAACGAAAGAAATTAAAATTGGATGGCTTTCAAACAATTTCATTCATTAAATTATTGAATTGTTTAATCGTTAAATTTTCTGTTTTTAAATTTAAATTTAAATTTTTTGAAAAGAATACATTGAACTAAAAAAGTGCAATTCAAATCATCTTTTCCTTTTTTTGTTTTTCGCTGATAGAAACTTTTTTCGGTAATTTTTAATCAAAATCTATCTTCTTATAACAAACCCATATACTTCGGATTGATGGCGAATAATCATTGTCTAGATTATCGCGTGAGGATCTAAATTCGACTTACTAAAAGATTTTGGTGAGGACTCACTTCTGTCTCCAAATCACTCTCCTAATAAATGTTTCACCGCACTACAGCCACTGGTACGAACCTAAACAATGATGGTGGGAACTAATCATTTATTTAATTAATTAAAGGTGAGCCAAACCCAGGTGATTGGCGTGATTAATTAGCATAAAGAATTAGAATGCAGTTAAGTTAGAAATTCAATTTTCGATTCTCATGAAATATTTAGATTTTCAAAATTGTCTTCCTAGCTGTCGACATATTATCAATACATTCTTTCAGCAGCAAAAAGCAAAAAAGAAATTAGATTTTATTAGTAGTCTTTCGCTAGCTTTTTTATAATTTCTTTAATCGCCTTAGAATTTTTATTTAGGACTCTCAAGAAATATTTTAAGGTGCAAGGTAATAAGAGATTGCTTGCTTTTTCTTCCTCCATATGCTCGTTATTTAATGGTCGTTATTTCCCTATAATTAAGAATTCACTAATGGTCAAAATCGAGGAAGAATTTATGATTTTTAAAATTTTTTGATGAGTTTTTAATTTAATTTTAGTTGGTGTAAAATCGATTCCCATACGAATGCAGTGCTTTGTTCTTTTGCCAGTAGTCTTGCTTTTATCAATTTCATATTTTTACTTGAAAAACTTAACGAATGAAATATTGGATGTAATAAAAAGCTTTCTTATCCATAATAATGAATTATTTTTGAAATAATTTAATATTTATTATCTACGCTTTATTTTTATTTAGTGAGAAGGCTTAAATGAAAAAAAAGCTTATTTTAAAATTAGTTTTATATACCATTTTATGGTTAAACATTGAATAAATTTTGGAAGATTGTGGCATAGAACATGCATTTGTGTGTATATTTATTGTTTATCATTTCAAGCACCATGCTCCGGTCTCTTGGATGAAGATAAAAACGTGGGAAGTGCCGCATTTCTTTCTGTATTTCTATCATTCTTTCATTGGGAGTTCTTAGGGAGTCTGTGGCATTGTTTCATCTCACAGTAATAGCCTGTGGAGTCTAACCAGAAACGGTAGTTGCCGACCGCTTGCTAATGAATATAATGAATATAAAATTGAGAATGTTTTAAACACTAGAATTATATATCATTACATGCATAAAGCTTATATGAATAAATACTGATTATGGCCGAACATAACTATTGTTTCATGCATCATCACGGTTTGACCCTGCAGAAAGCCTCAAAAGGCAGAAAGAGAAAAATCCGAACGATGACATGACCTTTCGTCACTTTTGCCTCCAAGTGGTTTCCTACCAAAAATCATGCTAATAGTCGTGGAATGAGACTTATGAGAAAGGACTTCCAATTGCTTGTTGCATACATATGTGAGTAAATATAAAGCTCAAGTTTGGTTATAGATGTTAAAAAATCACACTTTATGTTTAAATAGCTCATATAAGAGAAGTAATGCTCGATGTGCATATTTTTATGGTTTTTTTTTAAAATCGTTATGTACCCATTTGTTCCGAGTGGTGCTAGCGATTCACCTATACTTATATGTCAAGTTGCTCCTTGGCCAAAAATTCTTAATTGCGCTAATAGTTCCACAGTTCCAGCTGAGCTAGTTGTTCGAAATGATGAATGCCATTCACTCATTTATTGTCATTAGCTAATGGAAACGATTGCTTCCATAGTGGTAGCCGTTAGTGGAAAAATATTTGATCCCGATCATTTTTGGAAAAAAGATATGCAAACATTGGTAAATATCATATTTATCCGTTAAACATGGATTTTTATTTTTTTGCATGAATACAGGCGTTTTGTTGAATTTTATTATATTGTTTTTATTACTTTATCGTTGAATTTATTAAATGCAACACGAAAAGTAAAAACGATGACCAGATGCGGGTTTGTGTGGCGTAATACGCCGTCTTGCATATAAACGTAAATCGCTGGTTAAAAGAAACTTTATTTGAACTGAGTGAGATAAGGCAACCTTCACAACAAACATCTTTAGCAAGCTCGTTTCACAAAGCGTGGAGAGTAGAAATTGACTGTTCAGCGGTGAAAAAGTGGTCTCGACAGGATATCTTTACCTCAGTTTAAATCTGTGCTACGTGTTGCCTGGTTCTATAAAGTTCTATAAAACGAAGTTTTTGATATATTTATTAAATTAAATACAGTAAAAATAAATAAGTGAAATATTAGTGATTGAGGAAAGTCTTTGGCTAATATTTATTTCCATACTTCTTCTGGAGTTTTTTCAAAACCAAATTATTTTTTGGGAAAAATTGGAATCGTTGAAAAAGTATGAAGTTGCTTGATGTTTAGCATATTTCCTGCATTTGCATGTGATCAAGAATTATAACTTAGTGCAACTTATTACCTAAATGCTTTTTTTTATTCAGTCATATCGCGTTTCTTCTTTTCTCATCTTTTCTATTCTCTGTAATACTTATTTCAGTAATTAATAACAGTTTAATTAGTAATTAATAATGTTAGGTTTTTATTGCTACGACAAACATTACGAGTCAAAAATGGATGAAGGAAAAAAATTTGATTACGATTTATCATCGAATTCGTGCGACGTCGAAATGAAAAATATCAATGAAAATTCGGCAATGGTTTATTTTATTTTTTTCAAATAGTCAGTGTTGTGCTTTTCTTTTTTTTTCAGTTTTACTTCATAGAGAATATTTATAATGAATGTTAACGAATTTTTTGTTCAAGCCAAGCGGAGGAGCCAAGCAGAATAATTTGTTTTTCTTTGGTTATAAAATAAGATAAGATTGAATGAATGATGTCGAGAGTCGATGAAATTTCGAAAATTTCTCGTAGAGCTCTCTTTTTTAAAGAAAAGTTATTGGAATTTCCGATTCCTATTAAGATTGTTCCAACTGAGAGATTTTTTTATTTTTTTGCTACTTATAAGTTGGAAATTTTCTAATATTTTTGCGTCTATAATCTTTATTTTAGCCTTCTACATTCCATTTTTTGTGAAAACAATTAGTGTAATAGATTGTATTTCACAATCACTTCTTATCGTGATCCATGACTTTATCAGTCTTTTTATTCTTTTTGTTTCGTAACTGCCTATTGATAATAAGACCATTCTATTTAGTTATAGTTAGCAAAACATATTTTTAAGGCGATCGTATTGCCTATCAGTTCGATATAATTATCAAAAATTTTTGCTTAGTCTTAATTTTAGCAGATCGTTTAATATTTCTTTGCAAGTCTTCTCGCTCGTGTTTTTGATTTGAAAAAAAATAGCTTATTTTTAGATACAAGTTTTTATGGAAGTTTTCTTGAGTTTTCTGAGTTTTTATCCAGTTTAAATTGGAAATTATTCGACTTCAGAAGGCTTAAGAAAATTTGAAAGGTTTTAAAATTTTACTTTTTATGATTGGTTGATTGGTTGATTGGTTGATCAAATATGCTTGTATTAAAATTATGATTCTGTGAAATTTCGAAGAGATGGCTCATTGAATTGATGCTTCTTATCAGCCCATCATTATTCCTTATCAGTTAGATGAATGGGTTAGGGATCAGATAATAATAATATGATGGAAGGAAGGGAAATGAGATTTACTTATTTAAGGTAAATTTTATGATTTATCTTCGATTAAAATATCACTCTACATCAATGTTTTAGATATTTATTTCTCATCAGTTAAATAATTGTATAATGCCTGAATTGAATTCGACAAAATTTCTGCCAAAAAAATTCGCTATCTTAACTATCGGAATATATTTAAATATTTCAATGAATAAAGCAATGAAATTGGTTCATAAATCATAATTGAAAATTGTAAATAAAAAGCAACAACTAAAATCTAATGCATATAACAAATTCATGAAGTGTTTTTTCAACAAAAAAATTAGCAAAACCTTTAAAGAGTCTAAAATTTTAAATGGCCTATAACGATTTGTTTCTAGACTATTGTCTATTTTAAAAATATTTGTCTATAATTTTTATTGTCTATTTACTTGTTTATTTTTTATGATAATTTGTTTTTTTCTTTTATTCACAGATTTTCATCCGCATTTGGCATATCTGAAAGTCTTTGAATCTTTTTGCTGCATTATATGGTACTTATTTTTTTGAAAAGGAAAAACTACTAAAATAATATTTTGAAAAAAAGGATTTCAACAGTTTTATTCAATATTTGTTTTAGATAGAATTTTTGTTTTATTGAATGTTTGAAATGAAATTTTGTTGAGAATTTGTCAATTTTAGTGCTAGTTTAGATTAAATTTTATAATTATTTTATTTATTTATTTATTTTATAATTTTTAAATTAAATATATAGGTTTTTAAAATTTTATTGAATCTATTTTAAATTCATATTTTGCTTAGATTGAGATATAATTTTTAAACATTTTAGGCGAAAAAATTTTGGAGAAAAAAAGAAGCAACAATTGGTGCCGATTTTAAGAACGATATTATGATACGTTGTTTAAACACTCCAGAGGCAGCGACTCTTTCGTTTATGGTAAGCTCGTTTTTAAATAACATTTATCAAAAATCGTTAAGATTTATGAAAAAGAAAAAAAATCGTTTTTAATCGATTCTTTAATTAAAGTACCTTATCAAAATTGGGAATTTTTAGGAATGCGCGAATATTCTACGGACTGATCTCAATCGTGGATTAACACAAGCAGAAGCATTGAGACGGCAAAAATATAATGGATTCAATGAATTTGAAATTAATGAGCAGGAATCGCTATGGAAAAGATATTTTGATCAGGTTTATCAATTATCGCTTTCTGTTTTTGTAGATTGATTAAATTTCCGAATATTTTTTGTCAGATATTTTACTGGTTGGAAGTAGTGGGCAAAATAGAGAAATAGTTATTACTAGATTTTAAGCACTGCAACCCTGTTTGAAGCCTGTGAAAGTTTCGAGTGGTATTGATGATCGACTTTAATGAAAACTAAATGAGCCAGCCAGCCTAGACAGAAATGTTGAATGGTAATCACCCATTTACTGCTTAGAAAAATATACATGTCAATGGAAAAAAAGTCGAAAATTTTTCTGACATTTCTTATTTGCTTGTATTTCTTATTTACTTGTATTTTTTTTCTTATTAAAGTTGTTATTGTCATTTTATGATTTTTTCCTTTACAAATAAAAGTTTTGATTTTAATCAAAAGTGAAATACGAAGCTGAATCCTCCGCATATTTTTGCATTAATTAATTTTTTTTCAGTTTAAAAATCCCTTAATATTATTGTTGTTAGCAAGTGCTGCTATATCAGTTCTAATGAAACAGTACGATGATTCGATAAGTATTACGATCGCCATTGTTATTGTTGTTACAGTGGGGTTTGTTCAAGAATATCGTTCTGAAAAAACATTAGAACAGCTCAATAAACTTGTACCACCATCTTGTGTTTCGTATGTTTTTCCATCTATAATCTTTATATAAATTGTTATTACATTAACAAGAGTCTCTATAAATAATTAATTATTTCTGAATTTTATTTTCATTACAAGCCTTTTTATTGATAATTAAAAATTCAGATTGATATTGAAATATATGGTGGTACTATCAGATTTAAATGAATTTTAATCATTTTTAGATTACGTGATGGTCATGAAATGCATTTTTTGGCTAGAGAACTCGTTCCCGGTGATCTCGTAATTTTAAATGTTGGCGATAAAGTTCCAGCAGATCTTCGGCTTTTTGAAGTAATTTATATATATAATGTTTGCTTTGGTGAACTGCTAAAGCTTTTTTTTAAAAATTTCCTGTTATATTTTTTGCATTCCTCAAAGATGTTAGATATGGTAGTCATTGATATTCAAATAAATGAATTTGAATATTTTGCAGGCTTTAGATTTACAAGCAGACGAATCGTCTTTTACAGGCGAAATGGAACCTCGGCACAAACATACCAAAACTTTAAATGAAAACGCTGATTTGGATTGTGATAATATTGTATATATGGGTACGCTTATTCGAAGTGGTCACGGCAAGGTAAATTGAGCATTTTTTTATTTTTTATTTTTTGTAAAATACTTTCCTTTTCATAATTGTACTGCTTAGAAAAATACTGCTTACTGCTTAGAAAAATATACATTAGTTGGTATCAACTGGCACTGTACGAGTAATTGTATTGATTGGTAAATGGTCATCCAAAATTTGAATTTTAGGGTATTGTGGTAAGTACTGGAGCAAGCACTCGTTTTGGTGAAGTTTTTAAAATGATGCAGGCTGAAGAGGTTCGATTTATCCTCCACTTCACACATCTATTTATTATTTTGAAAAAGTACACAAAAATAAGTATATTTAGCGAATTTATTTGATTTTAAAAAAATGTGAAAATTCAAGAAATTTTCATTTTTTTTTATAGGTTTATATTTGTTTTTTTTCAAATTATACATGCAAATAATCAAATGATTGCGAGATATGGCCGATGAGGGTGGAGATATTAGTTCATTTGACCATTCATCACTCATGTCCAAGATAGCATTTCACACCGAAGTCCACAGAACAAATAAAATCTCACTTGGTTGCATTTTTACTCAGTTACCACTTGCATTAACAGTACTATTACACAGCATCACCTTCGGTTAGGGCATATGTTCTTCATCGCTCACCAAGGGAGTTGATACATATTTTGCTAAACTAAATCCTATGGTGATTGATGGCGTCAAAAGCGAGGACGGCCAGTTAAGATCTGGATAGAGTCAGAAAATGTTTTGAAAGTGAAGTTCATCAGCTATATGTAGACTTAGGTGATGAAAAAAGGAATGGCTTCTGTTATTGTCAACGGTGGCATCCGATCGAATAGCTTGGAGACGTCTTACTCTTATCACCAGCGAACCTAAGCAGTAATGGTTAGAACTTTTAGAAGAAGAAGAATGTGACTAAAGTGATTAATGCTAACCATTTCTAATTAGACTCGCTCCATAGAATTGCAATAAGGAATTTTGAGGATAGAATTAGACAGATAAGTTCCCAGCATCACTCGAATTTCTTTATTGATAGATTTGTTTTCTTGAGGTCCTACACGCTTTAGACAATGATATTGCTAATTTTCTTTTTCATGTATAGGAATCAATATATATTTTGTTTGGAAATATAACTATAATATAACTATATAACTATAACTTATTTAAATTCTAATCAAATTTTAATTCCAATTTTAAGGCCCCGAAAACTCCATTACAAAATAGCATGGATCATCTGGGAAAACAGTTATCGTTGTATTCTTTTGCTGTTATTCTTATAATATTTATTATTGGGCTTCTTCAAGGTCGCGATGTTCTCGCTATGTTCACGATTGGAGTCAGGTACTATTGTTTTTATCAATACTTCTATGCAGATAAAGCCACTTTAATCAAAATTCAATGCAGGTAAAACCACCTTTATAAAAATTTCAAATTTTTATCAAAATCAAATTTTTTATGTGAAAAATTTTTCTTCCTATAATTATCTCCTTCAGTTTGGCTGTGGCTGCGATTCCCGAAGGTTTGCCGATTGTTGTCGCAGTAACTTTGGCGATTGGCGTTATTCGTATGGCTTCGAGACATGCTGTTGTCAAAAAATTACCCGCTGTTGAAACTCTTGGGTGTGTAACTGTGATATGTTCGGACAAAACAGGTACATTAACGAAGAATGAAATGACAGCAGTTACAGTCATCGCTTCTGATGGGCAGATTGCTGATGTATGCCACATTCTTATTGTTAATTTTGCAATTTTTATTATTTATCATTTGTGAACCCAAGCTCAAAGATAAATGTCTTTTTTTTCGTATCGAACCTTTCAACTCTAAAAGAAATTTTGAACTTTTTTTGAACCTACGCTGCTTGATCGATTCTTTTTCTTCTTTTGACCGCTCTCACCATTACTGGTTATTGGCTGGGTTCTCTGATTAAAAGGTTTAACAAGTAATGAAATGTGTGTCAATTCCTGTGATGGGCTGTAAAGAGCGTGCCTTACCAGCGAAGACGACGCTCTGCGATGGAATTGTTAATGCTATTAATGCAGATAGTTTTAACGAAGGTGGAATCGTATTAGACTCTATCCGCTTAGTGGTTACCTTGGGCAAGAATGGTCAAGGGCATATAATCCCACAATATTTCCTACTCTTACTGGCCAAGTATCGGAACCATACAGCAGGATTGTGAGTACCACAACCATGTGGATGCGATATTTGTTATGAGACTGATTTTACGACGATTCCATAAAGGTTTCTCGAGACGAAATAAGGTATCTCTGGTTATATCTCTTCTGTTCAAATTGGTATTTCTTCTTTCGACTAACCATTAGAGTTGGACGAGCGAATCAGCTAAGTCCGGTACAACAGATGGCGTATCATGTTAAATTTGGCTTCAAAAAATTCCTTCCATCTTATGAGGCAATTGTTAATGGCCTTAATAAGTACATTCTGTTATTATCCCGTATCATTTCACACCATTTCACCGTTCACCGAGCTTTGCTTTATGAAAAAGGCTGGGTAGTTTCCTATTATCGTCTAATCGAGCCATCGTCTCTTTTCTCAGATAATATTTGCTCCCATAGCGATTGCTATCCCGCCATGCTACTGTCGTTATAATTCTTCAAAGCATTAGATAGCCAGAATCTTTTGACACTCGTGCTTTACCAGCCTTTTTGGACATTTGAGTACTAGTTTCTTCCTATACCAAACTTTCTTACTAGTATATCCTAGCATGGAAGTAATTGACTTTCAGAGGCATGCCTTTAGTTTGAACCAGTACTCATCCGCTGTTTCAATAATTCGGTTTGAAATGTGCTTGTCGTCCCTGAATCTTTTAGTTTGAAATAGATGAAAAACTTGGAAGACGTCTTTGCGAATTCTCAATTTTATGCGAATCTTGGTTCGACAGCGCTTTGATCCATGAAGATTACCACTTTCAGCACCCTGATGTGAATAACTACCATCTACCACGGAATTTTTCAGAATTCTTCCTTTGAAGCGAGCATATGTTCATTTTACCGGCTTCCACTCATTCAGAGCGAATCAGCTTTTTCATCTGTGCCAGTTATTTCATTTTTTTTTGAGTTATCCGGAACGTTGCAGTATAAAATTATTCGAGATTTAAAAGACGTACGTACCTACGACAAGCAGGCGACATCCACACGGTGTTTAGAAAAGTGTGGATAGTGATCGCTTGGCTTGCAACATCCATAAGCATTCGAATTACTCTGCTACCACGATCAACACCTCGTGCATGCAGAGATCCGACGAACAGTTTTGAGCAATTACCGTTGCTCGGTAACACATCATATTCTCATGCTTTGGATTTTTTTACTATTTACGAATTCCATACTTATCGTATGTACCACTGGGCTGAAAGTATCGTGCGCATCAAGAGCAGATCCTTTCATCGCTTGAGGGTAGAGCTGTCTAGGGTCTTCAGCAGCCATACGGATTTCTAATGTTCGTAACTCACTTATTCCTGTCGAAAACAAAGAAAAAAAATTAGGAGAAAATAAAATAGAAAGTAAAGAAAAAATAAATAAATTTAAAAAATAATGTTCTGTTGTTTCCCCATTTAATACGCTAAATCTTTGAACAATTTTTTTTGTATTTAGGATCTTAATATGATCCTTTTTCTATTTTTTGGCATCTCATTAATATTCACTTTGGTGCAGTCCCATTTTTTAGGTTTCTGGCCTAGGATATTCACTAGAAGGTGGTCTGGTTAGTACAAATGGTGAAGTCGTATCGGGAAATTCACATCCTTCAATAAGTCGTGTTATCGAAATCGGTGGTGTTTGTAATAATGCTGTTATTACTGGGGGGACATTAATTGGACAACCAACTGAGGGCGCACTCCTAATTTTGGCGATGAAAGTGAGTGCTTCTTCTTTATTTCGAGTGATGACTAGAATATTTTCTAATTGGTATCCATCCTTTATCTACCGTATATACTCTTGTAATTTTTAGAGTCGATTGGATGAAAGAAGAGCGATCTATCGACGCTTAAGAGAAATTCCTTTTTCATCAGAAACAAAATGGATGTCTGTGGAATGTGAATTGGTTAGCTATATTTTCAATTTCTATTTTTTTTCGAGTTGCTTCAAGATATCTCATTTGCTTTATCAGTTAACTTAGTTAACAGTTAACTTAGTTACACCCATTCATAAATGATTTTTATTTATTATAGGATAATGGACGAACTGAATATTTTGTTAAAGGTGCTATAGATCGAGTTCTTGATATGTGCCATGGTTATTTAGAAAACGGGGAGCGTCAAATTCTAATAGATGAATATTTTAAAGCTCATATGATGGATTTGTCTCATAAATTGGGACTTAATGGTCTTCGCGGTTAGTTTTTATATTTTCCAGTAAATACCTCTTCGAGGATTTTAAACGTTTAAATTTTTAGTTTTGGGATTAGCTTGCGGGCACAATGAACGAGAATTATGTTTTGCTGGTTTGGTTGGTATTGTTGACCCATTGAGGCAAGGTGTTATTGAAAGCATTGAAATTGTTCGATCAGCCGGTGTAAATGTAAAAATGATCACTGGAGATGCTATGGAGACAGCTTGTAGTATTGGTAAGTTATTAGCGGTAAGTTGTACTGAGTTACTAAGATTGGTTATTTATACCTGTACCTTTAACATTAATTAAATTATACCTTGTCTTTTAACTTTTTTAAAGAATAGAAAATTTTTTCCGGCTGTTGCCATGGAATATGGCAATCTTTTGTGGAGTATTTTTGTTTGAGATTTATTTTAAAATTAGCATTTTTAGACTAGGTTCAGACTAGAATAACTTTTTGAATGATTATCATGCTGGTAGTTCACTGGTTATTTAAACGCATCGCAAAAAATTTTGAGAAAATACTGGTGAATTGAGGCCATTTTCTAAAATTATCTGTTGTGAGCCCCAAAATTTCTTCGTTCAATATTTCTCTCAAAGATATTTACGATTTTTTAAATTAAGGCAGCCGGTTGCATCTTTATGGCGAGGGTACAATCTGTCTCTCTGGGCCTCAGATGGATGAAATGTCTGACATTGATTTAGAACGAGTGATCAAAGAAATCTCGATTTTTTATCGTTCGTCTCCTAAGCATAAACTACGTATCGTCAAGGTATGGTTTAATTTATGTTGAAAAGAAAATTGCGCAGTTTATCTACTGAAGTATATGTGAATTTGCATTTCATATTTTCAGGCTTTACAAACTCTTGGTGAAGTAGTTGCGATGACGGGAGACGGCGTAAATGATGCCGTCGCATTGAAGAAAGCTGATATTGGAATAGCTATGGGCTTAAGTGGTACCGATGTCTGTAAAGTAAAAATTTATATGTTCACTACTTAGGGGCAGGATAGAATAATATATTGCTTCGACTAAAGCCAACCTAACATAAGTTCGATTCTTGGCCGGAATAATTCCTGCTGGAGAATCAATTGTACTTCCACCTATGATTGCATGGCGGATAGATTTATCTAAATAGTCAATAGATTTAGCCAAATAAGAATGGTATATGTTATTATTATTATCTTTATTATTGTGGCTTAGGAAGCAGCCGATATGGTATTGATGGATGATGATTTTCACACCATTCAGTCAGCGATTGAAGAAGGAAAAGGAATCTACCATAATATAACAAATTTTGTACGATTCCAACTTAGCACGTATGTTTCGCTATTTCTCTGCATTAATTTCTTAAATTAATAATTACTATAAAAATTAGCTCAAATCGAAATTGTTTTTTTGTTATATACTAATAATTCATACTATATATACTAACTATACTAACTATAGGTCAGTTCTACTACTTATTATATAGCTTAATTATTTTTTAAAATTTTTTTACCTTGCTCTAATAATTAGTTTCGTTAGATAGAGAAATAAGTTTGAAAAAATTCAGGAGTGTAGCAGCTTTGTCACTGATAACAATTTCCACGTTATTCGAATTTGAAAATCCTTTGAATGCTATGCAGATTTTGTGGATAAATATTATAATGGATGGTCCTCCTGCTCAAAGTCTCGGTGTTGAGCCAGTTGATGAGGTGCAGCCACTATAATAGTTTTGTTCAGAAACAGTATTCCTTTTTATTGCTTTGAAACAGTTCAAAGATAATTGGTGTAGATAGTGGTGTGATCCTATATTTTTGAATTCGAGTTAATTTGAATTTTTTAAGGATATAATTCGTCAGCCACCACGAAATGTTCGCCAACCAATGATGACTCGTGCTCTTATCGTTAACATTTTTGTATCTGCTGTCATTATTATAATGGGAACATTGTCTGTTTTCTATAAAGAAGTATGGATTGATAAGTGAATGAATTTTCATATATTAGTAGTAGAATTCCTTATCTTTCATTTTCGTGTATGATACTTTGTTATAGATGTCAGCTGATAATCAAGTGACACCTCGAGATACGACGATGACTTTTACTTGTTTTGTATTATTCGATATGTGGAATGCACTTGCTTGCCGATCTAGTCGTAAAATGATCTGGGAAATCGGTCTGTTTAGGTAATTCTCCAGTGAATTTTTATATATTTTTGTTTTTTTCGATCAGTCTTAGATTTTCTTCTATTTCTGTCACCTGAAATATTTGTTAATAATGAATAGTGATAGTAATAGTGATTATATGGCTAAAATGATTTTCAGATTTATCTTCAATTTCAATCTAAAAATTCCAAATCAATTGGAGTTAAATGGATCTAAAATTTCGGAAGATTAATATACTCTTATAGAAATCTGGATTCTCAATTTCAGGAATCGTATGTTCTGCATCGCAGTTTCAGGATCACTGCTGTGTCAGCTTGCTGTTATTTATTTTTCGCCTTTGCAAGAAGTTTTTCAGACCGAGGCACTTTCTATGTTTGGTAAATAAATTATATTTTATTGTATTTAATTTAAATTAAAGGAAACAATAAAGGAAACGGCAGAAAATATGAAAGAATATTTTATAACAAGAAAAACAAATAAAGTAGAAAGAATATGAAATATTCTTAAAATGAAATAGAAAAAAATATGATACAAAAAATGGTAGGATGAAAGACTTGTATCAAATTAAAAAAAGTATAAATGATAAAATAATTTGCACAATAAATTCGTCTCTTTTCCTGTCCGCTTAGCCGAGTTCTGAATCAACTCCAGCATCTAGCAGAAATGCCTTGCCGAAATGATGCCGTTCCTGTCGAAGCAATGGTACGTAAGAAAATGGTCGTCAAGTTGCGGATAAAAGTGTAGATGAGCTCCCACATCTGCTGGATCTTCTTTTAATGGTAGGGTTACTGCTGTCGAAGGGAGGACCCTAGCTCTGGTGCTGAAGAAAAACTCTGTTACACTGTCTCGAAGATAACTAGAAGATATGGTTTTTTAATTTTGATTAATGTCTGGATGTCTGAATCTGAACGATTTTAAGATTTTTTGAAAATCAATATTTTTCTTACTGTTATTTTTTCCATTTTATGATTTTATGAATAATTATTTATAGATCTTTTTTTCCTGAGCGTACTAACTTCATCGGTTTTTGTTGTGGCTGAATTTCGGAAATATTTCGAATTACGCTGCCAGAAATCGTCCTCAATGTATGGAACAAGTGATGGTTTATGATCTATTCATCGTTCTAATATTTCTATTAGATGGTTCTCACATTTATCTTATATGTGAATTTTGCAATTTTTATTACTTTTTCGTGCACTTATCCAGAAATAAGCCCTGGAATTTATCAGTTATTTTTATTGCACGAGAAGCCTCTTCATTCATTCAAGGAAGACCCTCTTGTTCCTTTGTTATCAAATTTTGGCTGGTTTTACCAGAATTTTTATTTTTTTAATATTTTTTACTTAATAGGGTATGGATGTATATTTTTTTCTTTTCTCGTTGAATTTCTTTCGTTTATGTTTTATATTTTTGTTAGTAGCTCGATTTATCAATTAATTTTCTTAGTTGATTGATTATTTTTAATTCATTAGTTTATTCAAATATTTTCAATTTCAATGTTTATCCCTTTATTGTCCATTTTTTTTGCTTATTGTGCTATAAAGAAAACCAACCACTTTTGTTCACTCGATTATCCCATTTGCTATTTCTCTGCGTAATTTGCCAATGTTCTTGTTATTCATTTTTGAAAAGCGGTCACTCTTTCTTTTGGCTTGTTTTCCTTGGCGTTTCCAGTTGTAAATCAATTTAGCCTTTAATCATTTTTATCCAAGAAATCGAATTTATTCTATTTGTTCCATAACTCAGTCATCGTGTTCCTATTGTGTTGATGTCGTATAACTATGAAAAATCATTTATACATATCATTTTTGCGGAATGATTATATACCATTTTTTTTTCATTTCAATTTTTTTTAGGAAGGCAAATAAATTTGTCTATTTTATTAAATATTATTTTGGTTTTCCTTCATTTATACTCTCCATTAACTTTGTTGCTATTATAAACTATATTTTTCTTTTAATTGTTTTGCTAGAAGTCAATATTTCTATCACAAAAGTAAATTAATTTTGATTATCCGATATTTGCTTTTTTTTTAAAAAAATTAAAAACAATTTAGAGATTAAAAACTGATTTCTTTCCATGCGATAATAAACTGATTCTAAAAATTAATTAAGAATTAAAAGAAAATTACAAATATAAGAATTAAAAGGAAAAATTATCGTGGAATAAAATATTTTTAAACAATATGGATAAATTTCAATTAGCAGTTAATAGATGTACAGATAAAGCAAATGGTTGAATTCAATTTTTCAATTCATGAACTTTTCGAGTGATTTTTCGGGTTAATGATGCTGGTAATTTTGCAAACGAGAGGTCCTTATGTATTCAACACGTTATCATCGCTTTTGTGTACTGATATATAGCACTATAATTGAAAAAATTTTCAGATGCAAAATTTTAATACACAAGAACAAATGAAAAGTGATAAAAAATATTTAACAAAAAATTTTAAATCATTGGATTGGAATCTTTTATGCTGGTATTACTAATAATACTAATAAAACATCCAGCGGCTAGAAGTATCAACCGATCTACATCCCTTGAATATCCTTTCTAAATTCTGTGTATCCTTTCCCTTCTTTCTCGGTCGTTCAATGGTCTCACAAACACACCATTTCATCCACACCCCTCGCCTCGTCCAACCCCATTGTGCTTTGATAACATGCCTATTGCCTCGATTTCTTTTGTACGCCCTCTCCTGTAATGATTTTGCAATTCATAATTTGTAGCTGCAGCCACAGGTCCATCACGAGCTTTGTCGCTGCAGTCGAAGATGAATATGACGATGCCAAGAAGATACAACTGAATATGAGGAAGTTGAAGAAATGGGTTACGATGACTTCACTAAGGGATCATAAGCAGCGGGACAACTCAGTGGATAGTAATTGAAATCACTACGTTTATGTGGTGAAAATTTCGCTTCTTTTGCCTTCAAAAATAAAATCTGTGATTAAAAAATAAGGACAACACTGGCGACCCACCTGGTGTACTTCTAATGCCTGCCGAATCACTCTCTGGCAAGAATTTATAACCACATTATCAGCAAGCCAAATCAAACGCAGTAAACGATAACCATAAATGTTAATTTCTTGGTAAAAGAGTACAATAGGACTTTGAAGATGAAAAACGAGTTTTAAACTGTTTTTATAGAGATTTTTCCACAAATATGGAAACAATGCAGAAGAAAGGGATCGAAGAGAGAATCCTAAGGTAAATTAATTCGTAAAATAAAATTAATGGCGAAAAACAAGTACGCCATTGGAGATATATTTTACATGCAAAGATGAAAATGCAGGGACAATTAGTGGATGAAAATAGGTGAATATTCAAGGCATGTGGAAAAGACATGAACTGAAAAAGCAAAAAAAAAAAGAAAAATAGAAGATGCAAGATACGCCATTGATCTCTCATAGATATCTAACCAAAAAGCATAATCAAATCAAAATCTTATAAGCGAAATTCCAATCTTTTATGTCTTTTGCAAAAAAAAATTCACCATTATTTCCTCTAATGAAAGCATCTCCATACTTATTTTTCAGCTGTCCATTTGAATATTCCTCAGTTTGTTCAAGTGCGATATTCATAAACCCATCCAAGCATGATAGAATTCCTGCAGAACATTTAATAAAATTAAAGATTCTCGCTTGAATATCCTCTTCTTCAATGGCCTTCAGCTTTTCTTAACCATATCTAGTTCCTCTGAGTACAAGAAAGAGACTGCTAGCGCAAGAATGCAGGCGAATTCTTCTCATCTTATATGTTTTGCATTTCCTTTAAAAATCCAAAAAACATTCAAGAACTGCCAAACTCTATAATTCAAAACCTCATCAACTCTTTTAACTTTTTTGATAAATAGGTATATTTTCATCTTTATGAACAAAACGGTTCCTGCTTACTATTGAGAGAATAGCACGGAGCACGGCTGAGGGGTAAATAAAAAGAGCGCAAGAATACAACTCCCCACTCCACAGCACTATATAGCCAAAAAGAACCAAAGTTGATACAGAAGAGAAATGAATAAATACCTCGATAATCGATACCGGAATTAAGTTTCACAACAACTGGTTTGCCAATAATCTGTTTAAGGAATTCGCTTGGTGACTGCCTTCGACTCATTATTTCGACTTATTCATTAATCTAAAAAATATACAATATACAATATACATATACAACATACATATACAAAAATATACAAAATATTTCTGAAAGAAAAAATACTTAAATTCCTAAGGATTTTTTTAAAGAATCTCTAATCATAATTATTATAGGTATAAGATGAGCACTAGGATGGCCAAATGGCACTTCAACTGCAACCACACCGCACCGACTTCCTTCGGATGAGTATCATTTGCCAGAGTCCAGCTTTCAAAGCGACTCTCCGGCAAGCGGTACTCACCCTGAACCAAAATAGTAATAACCAGTCAATCCAGCAAAATAATCTAAACCAAATGAAAGTGCAGAAGCTGCAAATTAGAAATGATATGATAATAACGACATCCAAGAGTACTAAACATCGGTCTTCATAAACTTCCTTCGGTGCACGACTTGCTCCATTTCTCGTCCAGTCACTTTCCATTTGGTTGCCTCCACTGTTTTGATAAGCCCTTAGCGCGTAAGGGAAGAATCCCCAGCTTCCATCAAGTTAAGCTTTCATCACCAGAACTCCTCAAGTAATTGTTTGCCAATAATGAAATTTTGAAGACAAAGTTGTCCGACCTTAGCAATTTGCTTTCATCTCTCCATGATCTTAAAGCTTCAACGTTCCAGACTTTTGTCATTTTTTATGAATTTATGAATTCCTCATTTCCAAAGATTTTAAAAAATTAATATTTTTAGCGAGTTTCAAGAATATTAAAAAAAAAAAACTAAAATTCCCACGCCTTCATCTAACTATTTGTTATTAAAACAAACAAATGTATTTGTTATTAAAACAAACAAAAATTAAACTTATGACGAACAATTTTTAGGTAAATATTTTCGCAACATTTCAAACATTTCCCTCACTGAGGAAAAGAAGAAAAGAATGAGTTTATAAAATCATAAAAAAAACCAAGAAAATAAAATACATAATATTCTATCATAAAGAATAAAACAGCAAGATGATAGGTGAATCCGTCTTTCGTCGACAAAATGAGCTGTTTAAATATCAAGCAATACTTTGCATAAATGATTAATGGCAGATTAATTAATGAAAAAATGACTAAATATAATTCGAAAAAACAATATTCCCTATATTTAAATTTCCTCCGAGAAAATCTTCCTTCTGGAAAAATCCTGATTAAAAAGAGTAGCATTAACCTTTTGACCGGACGACTTTTAAATATTTCATTTCTACCACTGCAGAAAAGAAGAAAAAAGTATAGCTTATAAAATTACTACAAAATTGAATTTCTAAAAAGAATATAATTAAGCTTTCAAACAAAGAAATGAAAATGGGTGCAGAAAAGAAACAGATACGACTAAAGATGGAAGAAAAGGCATCAATACTCAGTTTCATTGCAGAAATCTAAAATAATCACATATCTAAAAATATTTGCAATACTTACAATATAACTAACATTTATAAAAATAATGAAATCCTAGAATATTAATACATTTGCGGCAAAAAGGAGAAAATTCCTTAAATAAGTGATGAAGACAGTTCCATCATTACGCTGTCCTCAACCATCTCATATAAAATTTAAAAACAAATTTTCCTTCCTCATTCCAAAAACTAAAAAAACAGTTCTTCACTTTCCCAATTTATCCATAAATTCTATAAAAATATTTAGACTTAAGGGCCATTTTAGGAACTTGCTCCGCAAAAAAATAAAAAATGGAACTTAGATAATCTGATTAAAAATCTCATGAAAAATGATGTGGTTAGCTTTCACCTTGTCCACTATCTTCGCCATTTTCATCATACTCATTATCGTCATCTGCAATAGATTCCCTTTAAAAAAAATTTTTCATATAAATCTGATATTGAAAATTCTTTAATCGCCATTCAAAATTCGCTTAAAATAAATTCAATTCGACTTTTAAATATTAAGAGAGAAAACGAAAAGAATTTTCAACAAATACCACTTTCATCGCCATAATCGTAATAATCCTCATCAAGATCGAAGACTTCAATTTCATCATTTGGTTTTGCAATAGTTTTTACACAATATTCTTCTAAAGTCTCAGGTACAACCACACCATCTTTTTCAGCCTCAATCCTCGACGAATCTACTTGATTCCTACAAACTTCGAAATTGAATAATATTGCGACTTGGTATATTTTCTTGCCATAGTAAATACACCTTTGAGAAATCTGTGAATGAAAGAAAATGAATTGTGAAATCAATAGCATTAAAATTTTTTCATATATTTTGTACAATTTATATAATCAACATATAAAATTAAATTAATCCATAAGGCATTTTATCCATAAATTCTCTAATTAAATATATCAAAATAATAATTGATATAAAAGTCCAATTCATAATAGAGATATTAGCACATCGTTTTCATTTTTTTAATTACATTTATTTTATTTGAACAAAATGTATAATACGTATAAGTGTATATATAAGTGCATGCTATGCGCACTCAATTAGAAAAATAAAATAAAAAACAACCTAACAATAGTAGCGTATTCATCATCTTTTCCACCGGTATCTACCCAACGCCTATACATAACAGATGCATCTACATTCGCAGGTGACGATGTATTTGGCTCATTTAATAAGGAAATTACCGAAAGAAGTATTGTTCTGAAACATTCACAATATAAATGGAAATAAAAGTAGGAATTTCAAGATATTTTGATAGTTCTCAAATGCTTAGAATGCTTAAATATATTTTTGAATAAAAATAATTGCTCCGAAAATTTTTAAGTCATATGCCGTAAAATATGAAAAACCTTTTATTATCTTTTATAGAATTCATAAATGAAGAATGGCAGAAAAAAAATTTAGCTCGAACCTGACATTTTGAGTTGGATTCCAGCGTTCGCAGGCTAACTCACCACTATGTGGATCATCGACGGGAGGATGAAGAATGCTAATACATAAGTCACCACTCTGCAAATATAAAATAGTTCACTTTAAGAAAAAAGATGGTTTTTTCCATGAATTCTAATTTGAAATAATTTGAAATTTTAAGTTTTATCATAGAAAAAACCAACCTGAAATTTGAAATTTTTTCCTTCTCAGAAAAGTCAAAAGGATAAAATTAGGGCAAAAAATCAAATAAACCATAGAAAGTTAGAAACTTAGAAAAAAGAACTGAAATATATATATAAACTCTTCTAAGATTAATAAAATTTGCTATGGAAGAATTAACATTTGATACTTCAGAAAGTGAAAAAAAGTGGAACAATAAATTAAATAATTTTTTTTTTCCGATAAATTTATTGTTCTATTCGACACAGATGATCAATAAATTTTTTCATGAATCGCAAAATTAGCAAAATCAATTCTGCAACAAAGAAAAAAGTTCTGAAAAGATTAAATAAGAAAAAACAAAACCTCGTAAACATTAGGATGCCAAACTTTGTTTGTGAATTTGATAGTCGGCGGCGAATATGGATAATTTGCTGGAAATTTTATAATTGCTTTGAAATATCCTCCCTGAAAGATCGTAAGTTTTACTGCTAATTAAAATAATACTCAGTAAAATTTAAAATAAAACTTCTGAACTTCCTAATAAAATCCTTGTATAAAATAAATTTTACAAAATAAAATAAGTTTTATGCTGTCACCAAACTGCTCTTTGCGCCAATTTCATTAAATACAAAAATCTGTCTTTGGTAATCCTTATAACATTCTCTAAATTTTCCTTATTTTAATTTTACTTTACTACTCATCAATCTAATCTTTAAATAAAATGGCAAGAAACTTATTAGAAAATCAACAATTATTTTTTAAAAATAAATATGTTCAAATGTCAAAATTACTAATCCTAATAAACTTTTTCTTTTTTTTATCCCTTCTTATATTCCACAGATTTCATCAGCCTCTTCCGCTTGGAATAAATAATAGAGATGCAACCGCCCAAAATATTAGACAAAATCTATCCTGAATATTCTTTATCTGTTAGTAAATCTATTGAATAAAACTCCTAAAGAAAAGCTTTTCATTTCCAAGTAAAAACTTCTGGCTACCTGTTAAAGTTCTAAAAAATTTATATGGCGGAAGGAATTCTTTGAAAATAAACACAATCATGACGCACGATCTGCCACCTCGAACACAACTGAAACGTTCGCCGAGTCATGCGATTACAAGCCAATTATTCAGAAGTTTAAGACCAATAAAATCGGGGATAGTTCTGGAGCCGATGTCTTCAAGTATTGTCCAAAGACTTCGTCACGTCTCCAACGTCGTTACAATTTATCTTCAATGGATGCAATCTCTGGTATGGAAGAAAGAACTAATACCAACTGACTGAAGCAATTCTGCTCTTAATATCCCAATAAAGTAAGAATGATTACAACAAAAAAAAATGACACCGTGATAACTATCGAGAAATTAATCTATTCTCTGAGGAAATTATCGCTCTTTTTTAAATAGATTTATAAATAGCAGGATTCGCTCTAGCCAATATGGATTTAGACCAAGGTTTGGATATGAAAAATTAATGCTAAGAGTAATTTTATCGTTTCAAATATCGACATTCCATACTATCTTAATGTTTTTGCCACTACTATCGATTAAATTGATATAATGGCGCCCTAAAGGACGATGGAATGCGACAATGTTCCAGAGAACACACTGATGCTTATTTTATCAACAAAAGTGCAAATATGGTAAACTATCAGTGCGTATGGGACGTAAAGGATGCATAAGTGATTAATCTTAAAATAAGTCCTCCTTTTTGCTAACAGTTGCAAAAAAATTGCAACAAATACCAGGTCGTGTATCGATAATTGCAGCATATTCAAGTGAAAATCAAGCGCCGTATCAATGTAAATAACACGAAAATCTTCGTGTAACATAGTGTTAGATATTACCTGTTTACATATATAAAAAACATTTTACAAAATTACATATATAAAATTTATATTTTATCATCAACGAGAAATTTCAAATATATTGGATCCGCTCTTGCACCAAGTAGCCAAGCGAAAGCCATAATTCGAGTCAGGATGGCCTCAATTATAAATATATTCTGACGAAATTTCTATGGAATAACAGCAAAGTAACCGTAAAAACGAAAATTCAGTTTATCTGACTGTAATATAAACCATCTTGCTAAATAGCTGCGTGATCAAAATAAGTAATGAAAACGGAAGATATTAAGAAGCTATCCACTTAAGACCATTTATACCTGGGGTATATTTTGCATGCTTACTGAGCGGATAAAACCTCATGATTCTATCATGTTCTTCGTCTCCTATCACAAAAATTGACGAATGTCTCTCTAACTTCAAGGTCAAGAGATCAAATGCGAGATATTCAATAAACATCTGACTGATTAAGAATCCGGATCCAGAAAAGATTTGAACATAAAGGCTACCCAGCAAATCGAGTGACTTGGAAACGGCTCATTAACAGTGCGAGCTATAAAAAGAAAACTTTTGGGCAAAAATTATCTTTGGTCCAAGTAAAAGTTTAATAAGAAATTTTTTGATGACAATCTTTGTTTTGCTAAGAATTCCTGGCACAAAAATTTTAAGGCAAATGAGTGAGATTATGAGAATCAATAATTGATGAAAAAATAGTAAAGCCATGGATGAAGACTAAAATTAAAGAAGAGTGGATGTACTATTTCAAAATACTTGTAATGTTAAAAAAAGAGGTAAAAACATCTTTGCTGGAAAAGCACCAATTCTTGAACAACTGATAAATAAATGATAAAAAGCATTAATACCTGGTAAAGTGTTCCAGGTGGTCCAAAAATGCCAACAGTCCACACAAAAATATTATCATCACTTGCTGTTACTGTAAACCCTTCAATTGGTGATTTTTGAAGACTTTTTAATTCTAATGATAAGGCTCGAACTGCTCCCGCATTGGATATTGTCGATGTTGCATTAGTTCCTTTCTCTATTACACTATTCATTCGAATAAACCTTTCCTCTTCTTTCTTCAATGGCGATTAATAAATTAGCTGAAATTAATCAATCAATAGCTCATTTAACAATTAATTTAACAATAAGAATAACACGCAATAAACGAAATCAAAATTTAATGATAAGTCTAACTGTTTAAAATGAAATACTCCACCAAAACACTTGACCATTTACCTCCTTACCTAAAACCCTCCTCACGCAACTCATCCCCTAGAGACTGTGACCTCAAACCACCGCTCAGCACCAAAACATCGACGATGAATAAAAACCAAAGATGATTGTGATGACTGCACTCGATATTGGCAAAACTCGGCTCCACTCGGCTGGTATGAAATAGTTCGCATCTACGTGTCGAACCCGTATTATAGTATATCCTATGATTCTGGTTCATGAATTAGCAATATTTGCTTGTTGCACTTCTCCCAGTGGGATTTGCTGTAATGCAAGAAGAGCCATAAGTGCGACCATGATTCATTGACGGGGTGGAAAGAAGGAAACAGGTAGACACCTGATTTACCTTCGGAAATCTTCGGAAATATTCATCTGTTCGTATATCGATTCAAAAAATGAAATCGATTTTAATGAAATCGAATGTTTTTTTTGAACGTAAAACTGTAGACATTTATTTTCGACATTTTGTCAGTCAGCTGACAATCAGCTGATAAACATTGCTATCAACAGACAGGCTAAGATAATTGTTTCAAAACCAAGCGGAGCCTTATGATTTTATGGCTATAAGGGTACGGTTGTCGAATTGTGTTTGGCTTGGAGCGAGGCTAATTATGAATTTGGTTTTTGCCCTTTGCAGGAGTAAAAAGTGCCGAATTTCCATTATAGTAGTTTAATTTGCAATGGAGATATCCTATGATGTCCTAGTTTGGACTGCATTGCGATCCATGTGCACTTCTAAATCAGCCAAACAAAAAATGGTGAATTAATGGAGACTATTTAAAAAGGATTCTAAGATTCAAAGATTCTACAGTGATAAGAAAAATAAAATCAATACTGTGGGATTAGCAGTGGAAGGGCGTAAACACCTGGGAACCACGCCACCCGTATTTAATTTTTCTTCTAAAAGCTCGCACCTTTAGTGATTAGGTTGCCCGCAAAGGTGAGGCGTTTCCAGCCGGATTGTTGAATTATCAAATTAATTTTTGATACTTTCCTGTTATTGCTCAATATTTTTCTTGCTTTCGTTTGTTTTCATGCACCTAATCTAGCATTGGTGCTAGCTGAATTTTTCAAACAATTTTTAAAATTGGTAAAAAGAAAATATCGTTAATAAATTTGCCATTATATCATTACAATAGTATCCGTCATTAAATCAAAAATTTATTATTCGGAAGGAATGGTACGAAAATTCTTTTATCATTCCTTTTTTTGTCACCACTTAACTCTTTTTTTTTAAAGAGTTTTCACCATTACTGGTTAAACTCGCTCCGCTGGCTTGTCACATTGGATTAATATGTCAGGGAGCGATAGAAATACAAGTAAGACGCCAGCATTACCCGACACTTCCTTCATACTTTTCATATAACCCTTTTCATTAGATCTACTATTATAATATTGTTCCATCAATTCAAAATTATTTCCTTTCGTCCACGTAGGATTTGTTCTACAAAACCTGGCACCAGACTACCCTCATCCCACAACACTGGCTCTGTAACTCATCATCAGATATTCTTGGTCCCACAGTCCATCTGACGCAGGTCTTGTTGATACACGTCCGAGCTGGCATGACTCTAATATGCAGTACTCTCATATTTGGCTAAGGCTGGTAAAGGCATTAAGATCATTATGCCCTAAGACCCCACTGGAAAGGTAGAGGATTTGGCTGCGATTCGAATCAAAATGTCATTATTTCATGTCATCGTACGGCCGTATCTACTACACTATTTTTTAAGAATCCTCATCATTACTGGTAAGACTCGCTCCACTAGTTTATCGTACTGGACAAATATGCAAGAGAATCCCTTGGCGATAGAAGTACAGGTGCATCGCCATCATTCGGATTATTGAACAGGTTCGAAACTTGGTGGAATAGAACCTTAGTATCGGCACTGAATCGAGCAACAACCCACTAAGCCATTTTTTTCCCCACCATTTCTTTCTTCTAACAACTTTCACCATTACTGGTTGGGCTGGCTCCAACGGCTACAAGAGTAAGACGCTTCCAAGCAGCGTGGTCTGATGCCATTGTCGACAGTAATAGAAGCCATTCCTTTTTCCATGTCTAAGTCCCATATATTGCTGGTCCACCTATACGTTCAAAATCTTTCCTGAATCAATCAGTTCAGGTCTTGATTGGCCCACCTCGTTTTTGCTAACCATCAAAAAGTTTAGCAAGTAACAAAATGTGCGTCAACTCCTACGGTGGACGATGGAGAACGTGTCCTAACCAGCGAAGGCGACGATAATATTATAAATGTATTTATGCAAGTGGTATTGAAGGAAAGTGGATGCGATCATGTGATATTTTATCCTCTCGACTAATCCGTAATATGTACCTTAGACAAGAATGGTCAAAGGCAGATAGCTTCTTAATATCTTCCATTCTCATTGGTCATGTCTCAGAACCATATAGTAAGATCGAGCGGATCACGGCAATATAGATGTGGACTTTCGTTTTTTTGGTGATTTCACGACGACTCCATAAAGATTTTGTCAACCGGAAGAGCTCATTTCTAGCTGCCATGATTCGGGTTGTAATATCTTTTGCCTGGCTATTTGGTATTAGAGTGGAACCAAGGTATTTGAAATAAGGCACTTCCTCAACTGCCAATGAATTTATAAAAGAAGGCATTTTATCAGCTTCTTGCACTTAAGACGAAAAGGCTTTCGTTTTATTTACACTGACCTTGAGTCAGGTTCTCGCTACAGTTACTGACACGTTATTAAGCCATTATTCGCATTTCGTCGTCAGAAAAAAGGATTATATTATCAGCGTATTCAAGATCTGTAATACGATGCTCTGGACTGATTTGGACACCTCTTGAGTGCCGAAAAGCGGTGTCCATGTAGGGGAAAGGACGCAGACCTGACCGACACCAGTTCTTATCTCGAAGGAGTCTGTCAGCTCCCCATATACACACACCTGCGCCGAAATGTGTTCATAAAATGCCTTTATGAGTCGAATGATCTTCTCTAGAACGTCGCGTTCCATCACCTTCCAAAGCGCCGCTCAATTCATTACTTAAATGAATTTTGAAAGAAATCTGAGCACAGTCAATACCGGTGATATGTACATATTGTATATATAAGGCGATCAGTGGAAAATGACACTCATTTTTTGGAGCTCTTTTCCGAGAGGGCTAAGTCGAATCGAAGCATGAAGAATTCAGAAGAATGGAACCGTAGGTTTTTCAATGCATATTTCAGGTGTGAATGACGTGAGAATAATGACCTTGAGCCATTCTAAATCTATGCATATACGTCTATCAGTTGAATCAAAGGCATCCGCAAAGTCGATGAAATACGTGATGTTTCAACGTCCTTCTTAACGTGAACATAGGGTCAGACAATCGCACTCCGGTCTGAAACCAGCTTGATTTGGGCGTATCCTGCTGTACCGTACTTCCATAAATCTGATGAAAAGGGAAACAAAAATTTTCGCTGAGACGTTTAGTAGGCTGATTCCTCGATAATTGTATGTCTTATCATCTTTCTTGAGAATTGGGATCAGAATTGCTTTGCTCTAATCATTTGGTAATATTTCTTTTTTCCATACTAGAGAATTCGTTGAAGGTGCGTTATGAAAGACGATTGATAATATTTGAAAAACTCATCTTGAAGACCATCTTCTCCCGGAGTCTTATTGATTTTAAGCTTATGGATAACGGAAATTATTTCTTCTTTTGTTGGAGGCCCGCAACTGCAAGCATATGGTTCGATAAACGTATCAGTTATGTCAGGGGCAACAGATGGCACTTCATGGTTAAGTCTGGCCTGGTTAAAAGAATTTTTTCTATCCTAGTACGGTCCTTAATACTCTTAATCGGCATATCATTGTTATCCCTCACCATTTCGTTGATTGTTCCACGAATTATAATTGCTTTATGGAGAAGGCAGAATAGTTTCCTATTATCGCCTGAACGAGCCGCCTTCTCCATTCTTATGTCACTCCAATAGTGATTTCTGTCCCACCGTGATTCTTTCGTTGCAAAACTTCGAAACATCCGGTAGTCAATTACCTGACATTCGTGCTTTGGCAGCTTTTTCAGACAGTTGGACAGTTGCTTCCGATACCCAACTAGCGCACTTCCTACTAGTATGCCCTAGCATAGAAGTGGCTGATTTTCAGAGATATTCCTTTAGTTTGGACCACTATTCGTTTGTCGTTCCAGAAAAATCATTTGTATCATTGAGATGCTTCAATAATTCGATTTGAAATGCGCTCACTGTCCCCGAATTTTTTAGTAGTTTGAGATAGTTGATCTTGGGGAATGGTGTTTTCTGCGAGTTGTCAGTTTTATGTGGATCTTGGCTCGAACCATAACATGGTCAGATCCATGAAGATTGCCCGTTTCAGCGCCGCGGTAGGAACAACTATCGGAACTCTTCCAACGGCGATTGGCTATGATATAACCAATCTGGTTGGTTGAAATGTTGGTTGTCCGGAGAGTTCTACGTGACTAGATGTTTTCTATGATGCTAGAAGCAAGTATTAGTAACAAAAAGTTCATGCTCCTCGGAAGAAGACTTTTCCCATTGGCGCACCGGTCAGCGATGCCATATTTGCCAATTGTTGAGGTTCATCGCAGCTGCATTATGACCTACGCGAGCATTCCAGTCTCCCCCGATTATGATCATGTTATTATGTTTCGGTAAAGAGCAATTTGTTAGCAGTTGAAGTTCCGCATAGAACTTGTCTTCATCACGGTCATCTTCTGACAGAGTTGGAGCATAGACACTTATGGCCGAAATATTGCAGAACTTACTCTTAAAACGCGCATATGCCATACGGTCGCTTACCGGTTTTCACTCAATCAAA